TATTTCTCGCGACCACTTGCAAGCATTTTACGACAATGTTCATAAAAACGTATCTCGTGTTGAGGATAAAGACACATTTTTACTTATTGGCAATTTTAACACCCCACATCTGAGTTGGTCCCCTAGTACTTATAGTAACGTTATGACACCTGGTATTTCATCCGACTTTAAATCTAATTGTCTTGTTGATATTATGAATCTTTGTAACCTAGTTCAACTTAATTCAGTCTATAATGTGAATAGCTTTCTTCTTGATCTCGTCTTGTCAACAACTGAGAAAGTGCTTGTTACATCTACTGAGCCTTTTACTCGAATAGATTCACATCACCCTCCACTGAAAATTGTATTAATGGAAAATTTTAAATTTAAAAAAATGAAACGTGCACAACCAATAAGATACAACTACCGCAAATGTAATTATCCTGATTTAAAAGAGGATCTAGCAACTGTTGATTGGTCTAACTTATTAAATGAACCGGATATAAACGAGGCTGTCGATAAGTTTTACTCTCTGTTGAAAAAGTTAATTGCAAAACACACACCGCTTGTAAGTAAAACCAATAACAAATATCCGCCATGATATATTCAGCATTAATAAAGTGTATCAAAGAAAAAAAATTTCATCATCATTTTAAAAAACATCATAATCCAAGGGATTACGACACTTATGCATTGCTACGCACGAGATGTAAAAAACTTACGGAATCGGTGTACGCATCATTTATTACCTCCATGGAAAAAAGTCTATCGGATAACATAAAGATATTTTGGAATTTCGTTAGCAATAAAATAGGTAGCTCAGGTATGCCACAGACTATGACTCTTGGTACGGAATCTTCTTCGGACACACAAGGAATATGTGAACTTTTTTCTCGGTACTTCAGTTCAGCTTTCGAAGTTTCTCAACCAGGTCATTAACCAGGATTTTGTTACTAATGATATTGTAGACTGTGATAGTTATTGTAATTACAGTATGTGTAATATAGAACTAAGTCAGGATACAATATTGGAAAAATTAAAGAAATTAGATACTCGCAAAGGTCCAGGGTATGATGGTATTCCCGCTATACTTTTCTCAAATTGTGCAAGGCAACTGTGTGAACCACTAACATTATTGTTTAATAAGTCATTAAAGTCTGGTGCTTTCACTTCCATTTGGAAATTGGCTCACATCGTACCCATTCGCAAGTCCGGAAATAAGTCTCACTGCGAAAATTATAGACCTATTAGCATTTTGTGCTGTATTGCTAAGGTTTTTGAATCTGCGTTATATGATCATCTTTACTTTCAAATTAAGCCGCTTATATCTAGCAAGCAGCACGGTTTCGTGAGAGGCAGATCAACAGTGACTAATTTGTTAGAATACAAAAACTACTTGTGCGAGGTTTTCGCCGTGGGTGGGCAGGTTGACGCCGTGTACACCGATTTTACAAAAGCTTTCGACAAAGTAAACCATTCTTTACTCTGTAAAAAATTAGCTATGTCGGGTATTCATGGAAATCTACTGCGCTGGGTTCATTCGTACCTCGATAATAGAAGACAACTTATCGCTCTCAAAGGTTTCACGTCATCTCCTATCAAAGTTAAATCCGGTGTTCGTCAGGGTTCACATCTCGGTCCGTTATTTTTTATTGTATTCATAAACGATCTGATTTGTAAACTGTCCAGTCCCTGCCTTCTATATGCTGATGACTTGAAAATGTACCGTGTAATACAGGATTTATCAGATTGTGTTAAGCTACAAGATGATATTGATTCAATATCCGAATGGTGCCGGCTTAACGATATGCATCTCAATGTTAAAAAGTGTTTTACTATAACGTTCACAAATAAGAGATATAAACAGACATATGACTATAAAATTAATAAAGATTCATTAGACAGTAAAACGGTAGCAAAAGATCTGGGTGTGCTGTTTGACTCTAAATTAACATTTCGTGAGCACTATGCCCACATTAAGAACAAAGCATTCCGGTTGCTAGGTTTCATATCGAGGTGCACTAAGGACTTCAAACAGCCTCAAAGCTTCCTGACCGTTTATAATAGCCTTGTCCGTAGTATTCTTGAATATGCTTGTGTCATTTGGTCTCCCTGATACACAGTGCATTCGGCTAGTATAGAAAGCGTCCAAAAAAGAACCCTTAGAATACTTAGCTACAAATGTGGTCTTGGTCGCAGTCTTGTCGGTTATAGTGAGAGACTCGACAAATTTAAAATGACCTCTTTACTTATTCGTCGTAAGGAATATGACCTTATATATTTACATAAAATTCTCCATAATGAGATTGATTCCGGTTACCTCTTAAGTAAATTAAACTTAATTACAAAGCGCAATCCACGAATTCCTAACAAGACATTTCACCTGCAGACTTACAAGAATAATACGTCTTTTTACAACCCGGTAATAAGAATGTGTCGACTTTACAACGAGATATCCACGAAAGACTCCCGCTTGGATATTTTTGACCCAAGATCAAGAATATTCAAAAGAGCAGTAAAAGAGCTTACAGTCATACACGCTCATTCCCATATCACATAGATTTTAAATTTGATGTACGTAAAATTTGTTTTTTGTGTTATGTCCCACATCACATAGATTTTAAACTTGTTGTATGTAAATTTTTTTTTTTTGTATTATGTAGTAATGTACGGCATTAATATTAATATTGTTTAGCGTAGATTAGATCTCCTCTGTAGTAAAATATGAAAATGATGTGTCAACATACTTAGGAAAACAATCTGGCACGAAAATTTTATATGTATATGTGTAATTTTTAATGTATTTTGATTGTTATCTGTTTTGTTGTCCATATAATAAATAAATAAATAAATAAAATAAACAATAAAATATTTCTCCATTTTTTAATGTTTCTTTTTGTCAAAAATTACAAAATTATGGAGCATGAAAATTTTCTCATTAAAAATGAAATTAAAATTTCGAAAATTTGTACATTATTCAACTAACTTCATTTACTTGTACCTTTGAGTATTAAACCAAAGGAGACGGCATCGCAAGGCATACCCTTCTGTAAAAGGTACGAGAGTCCGACTCATACTCGTTATATAAAACTAGTTGCTCCGCGTCGTGCGTCATTCCGAAGTGATCGTGCCAGTAAATCGAGCTCCGACAAAATGCCGAATTGCAGTGTATTTACATGAAAATAACAACCAAAAACGTCAAGTATACAAAAGGACAATGTGACTTTTCATCTGTGAGTATTTTTAGCATAATATTAAAGTAATTTTATCATTAAAACTCGTAGTTTGTAAATATTATCGTCCAATACCGAGTGTGGCCATCATAGTTCATAAAGTGAAAAATAATCTATTTTTAAATAAATATAATTTACTACACAAGTTATATTTATATTAACGAAAATATATTTCCTAATAACTAAATCAGTTTGTGGTGAATAATAATCATTACATATAGATGTGTAGTGGATATTGTTAAATGATTTATATATTCAGCTCGATTTCAACACGATACTGAATATTACATAATTAAATATAATCGATAACTAGTATTTATTAAAATATTATACAAAATACAGGCCAAATAAGTCAAATCGAAACTTGCTACCTCGCATCAAAAGTGTGCAATTTTTATAAAAATAAACTGGTACTGCAACCAAAAGTATTGCACTATAGTGATGAACGCCGCAACTTTAGCTATCGATAAGTTAATTAACCATGCGGGTTTGTCTGCCGAACCGGTTTGTAGTTTTTATTTAGATTCTATAATAAAGTATTACAAAAGTAGTAAATTTTTCTATCATTGGTTTGTTTTTACAGATTTCCAAGAGATCCTCTTAGGCGGCACACTTGCATTGTAGCTTGTAGAAACCATGAATCTGACACTGCAGTACCAACCTTGAACTTGTGAGAGGTAATGTTTGGCTGTAATTATATTTAGATTAAATATTTTTATTATTACCTTTGACACCAATACTATATATAGCATTAACCTATCAAATTTAATTCATATATTTATATACCTATTATTGTAATTGTAAACTTAATGTAGTTTAATTTTTGTACACGTGTACAATTTGATGGTATGTTTACGCATACCATCACGTTGTACACGTGTACAAAAATTAAACATCGATGAACACAAACATATATTTATATATATTACAAAAGTATATAAATATACGTTTGTGTTCATCGCATTTGCGATGAACACAAACATAAATGCTGTAGTGTACGTTTACAGTGACTCGATTTAATTTTGCATTTGTAGTTAAGTATACAGTTGTGTGGTTTTCTTGCGCCCCCTTGATGTTGACAGAATTTTTGCTTTGGAATTAACGCGCATGGCCTCTCCAGTTGGTTGAATACTCATAAACAGCTAACTTCGCAGTCACTACTCACCGACGTCAGCGCCGCTATATATTCTACAATTTTCAAGGACAGGCGGGCTATGCTTTAATACGTAGTGATCGTTCTCCTGTTCTCTAACCTACATGTGAACGTCTATGTGTGACAACAACAATTCGGATACAGACTCGGATCAGTAGTTAGACCGAATGGCATATTGTATGTGGGCGAGTGGCATTTGTTGGTAAAAAAATCAGAAACAAAACGACCGTTACTATGAAAACTATGAACTGTTATTACAGAATTTTTTTAGACTAAAAAGAAATAATTAGTATTATGTCATTAAGAATTATATATAAAAGGTAACGCCATGTTCGTTTACATTTGATGTGGAAGATCTCTTTTTGCAGCAAATAACTAAATAATTTGAAATTTTTGTAGGACGTCGATTCAGTTGCACTATTAAATTTAATCTAGTGAGCAGTGCGGCAACTTAAAGCTACTTTTTCCTTAAAGTTATCTGTGGAGTAATAAGTAAAAGTAACCTAAGCTTGGCTTGGCAACACTGTTTGTGATTGTCAATCAGGTTTTCATTATTCAACAATTCAACATTAGCAAATTAAATGAGATTTATAAAGTTCTAGTTGTGTATGTTTCTTCTAAAGACTATATAAATTATGCCGAAAAACAAAGGAAAGGGTGGTAAAAACAGGAGAAGGGGAAAGAATGAAAACGAAACAGAAAAACGTGAGTTGGTCTTCAAAGAAGACGGACAAGAGTACGCCCAAGTCACAAAGATGCTCGGTAATGGCCGCTTAGAGGCCATGTGCTTTGATGGCATAAAACGTTTATGTCATATCCGAGGGAAACTTCGGAAAAAAGTATGGATAAATCAAGGAGACATTATACTTATCGGCCTACGAGATTATCAAGATGCCAAAGCAGATGTCATCCTAAAATATACCCCGGACGAGGCAAGGAATCTTAAGACGTATGGAGAGTTCCCTGAAACAGTACGCATCAATGAGACTGTTGTTTATTCTGTCGATGGTTTGGACGAGGACATTGAATTTGGAGATGAAGTCAGCTCAGAAGATGAAGCTGATGCAGTAGATGCTATTTAATACTATTTTTATGAATACCATCTACAGTAAGTCAATGTAAATTTATTTTCTGTTATAATAAAATAATGACTTTTTGATTGTAAATTTTTGTTCTCAAAATTACTATGTTATTTACTTGTTACATTAAAAAAAGTTCTTGTTTTATCTAAAGCTCAGTATTGTGTATAATTCAAATGGTATAAGCAGCATATCTACATAGTGATTTTTAGAGTAATGATTCAGAAAAGATCTTATGTCTACTACACTACCTACATGCAATAATTGTTAAAATTGAACCATGCACAACATTCCTTGAATTTCTTATGGATCATCATTGAGGAATATTTAAGATTAAGGAATGTATATAGTATAATATACATTAAATTATGATGAAATTATAAAATTGTTTTTTATTTCCATTTCTAAAGGGCACAAAAATTGTTGTACTTAGAATATTCATTATATGAGATTATTATTTTTTATATGAGAAGCTTCCAAATTGACAACAAAAGACATCACAGAATATTATGTTATTACAATATTATAAGAATAAATGAAATCACATCACATAAAATAATATGTAGAAATTAGGAAAACACAAGGGCAAACAAGTAAAATTAGTTGGAAGAGAGATTTGAGAAAGAAAATGTATAGGAAGAACTTAAGTTATGAGAATAATAATAATCAACTTTTCAGTGCTGTACTTCTGCACTTATATTTATGCGAGTTTGGAATGCCAATATCCAACAACCACGTCCGCTTCTCCTTTTCTACTAATATTATGTCTGGTCAACTCTATTGGGACAACTGACCTGTCCCAATAGGACCAAACCATTCTCGAGTACCAGGGATGGATTGTATTTCCAGTAGGGTTTTGTCTCCTTTAGACCGTGGTTTACTGCCAGCTCTTGATGCACAATTATTGCCTTGTTGTCATGGCACAGGGTGCACTCGGTTCCAGCAAGAGCCTGGCAGCTGCCAGGAAGCCACCGCCGTAAAGAAGTTGAGTAAGATAAGTTGTCAGTGGAACCTTGATCGATGCCACATTCTCATGAAGAATTATCCCATATCCTTAATTTGGCTAGATTTACTGATGTGCAAGAATGACTGGAGCTGATGTGGTAAACACAATGGCAAACAATGTGGTAAACAGTAACATAATAAACTTGATGGATTTGTGATGCTGAAAACGCCAAGGTTTGGTTAGGGTTACATCTTAAGGGTATAATGTCTACATTTTATGTTTTTGGCTTTATCCCAGGTACCTTGCCTAATGGCCAAATCCAGGCAATGGAAGCAAATCATGGGAGAAAATAATGATTTCTTATATTTAGACCGATCTGTCTACTAGTTAAGTGTTGTTTTCTTCAAAATCAGTACATTCATTATATTCCAGATATCCCAGAAAGACCTGAACTCCATACCAACACAACTTTTAGGTTGCTAAATGTAAATAATTTAGAGTTGAAAGGGGTTAGAGATAAAATGGTTTGAAGCCAATTAATAGAGTCAGAGAGAGTTAAAATATTTTCTGACTGTTCGTGCCGGGCACTAATAGTTTAAAATTATTCTATATTTAGGGATCCTATCAGTAATGCATTTGTGTATATAATGATTGTCTTGATAATATTTTTTTAATTTACTCATAAGATTTATTGTTTTCTTGTCAAGTTCTAGGTTAAGGATTACATTTGGATTAAAGATGGGCTTCATAAAAAATGAAAAAGAATTTGGTGATGGTATTTTGGAAAACTGAAGATTGAATATTTAAAAACTTGATGTAGCTGTTTAAAAGGCATGGCAAGTCTTTATGTTGACAGTATGGAGAAGTTGAAATTTGCTTTTAAAGTTAGCATAGTATATGAAATAGTGAAGAAAATAAAGTAAAGAAAACATTTTTTGAACAAGAATTTAGCTGAAAGGTAACGCGGTAGCTCAGATGGTTAACGCTCGCTCTAAATATAACAGAACGCGAGTAAACCGGGTTTGATCCCTGCCAGCACCACTGAAATTGTTATTTGCAATTTAAAGTGTTGATTTACAACATGCTTGGCGGTGAAGGAAAACATCATGAGGAAACCTGCATGTCTGAGGAATAAGGAAAAAAAAGATTTAGAAGACATGTGAAGTTTCGCCAATATGCATTGGGGCAGCGCGGTGGACACTTCTTTGCCCTAAACTCTCAGAAATGAAGGGAGGCCTGTGCCCAGCAGTAGGACGTATATAGGCTGTAACTTTACTTTAAACTTTTAATGCCTGTGAAGAAAGTGAGGATCCTCACCACAGTTGACCTGAAGAGCAAGTGGTAATGGATTTGATGTCCCCTGTAATAATGTGCATGCATTTTAGTTGTATTTGATCCAAAGTTTTGAGTGCACTTTTGTTATATGGTTGCATTATGGAACATAGTCAAAATGGCTTCTTATAAAAGCATCATACAAAACCTTTTGAGAGTAAGGATGAGGCCATCAATCTTCTGATGTGGAGCGAATGCCATTAATATTTTTTTTTGCATTTCAATGCTATATGGTTTATAGGGAATTCCAGATTATTTATCTAGCAGATAGGGTATAAGGTATTTTAAGGTAGATATAACTGAGGGATTATTTGATTATTAACTTGGAATAAAGTGGTAATAGTGAGCATTACTAAGAAAGCAGCTACTTCAGAGTAAGGTCTTCTACTGCAGTTAATTACTAGTGGCGTAAGAACATTCACTACCCAATATCATCCCATGGGTGTCATTAAAGGCGACAGAGAGAAACAAACCAGAACTTTGGCAACAGCATCATCCTAGTAATAAAAACAAAAAAATTATGGTTGCCAACCTGTCTGCCAAGCATGGCAAAAATGGCAAATATATTACCCCTATTAGGTTATGGAGAAACCAATAAAATGTACACTCATGTACTCAAGATATTAACCATTATTAAATATGTCATTTTGGTTTTGCTTGAGTTCATTTCTATCCAAACTTCAACCTTTTTTTGCTACGTTTTGTAACATATGTTCCATAGTTTTGGGTCATCTACAAGTATAATCAGGTAGTTGGCGAATCTAAAGCGACTCAGGTGAGATTGATTGATATTTAGGCCAAAAATGCTGTCAGTCCAGTTTTCTAAATATTTCTTCCAACACTGCTGAGAATAGCTTAGCCGATAGTGTCTCATTGTTTCTATCTCCTCTGTTGATTGGGAAAACACCTGTAGGTTTCAACTTAACGGTGGCTTTGCACTCACTATAGATGTTTTTGACAGCTGGGAATTGCAGATGCGTTGCCGGCCTTTTAGAAAGGAGTAAGATCTTTTCTTGAAAGTCCCTAAGTCGTATGAGTCCGGAAAAGTCGCTGGTGGTAAACAATTTCACAGAGGAAGAAATCTCCTAGTAAACCGTACAGTAGTGGACCGCCACGCATCTAGATGGTGAGGATGGTATCGAGAATTTCGACGCGATGTGCGTTCGTGAAATTTGGCAGCTGGAACTAATCTGAATAATTCCTCAGAACACTTCCTATGGTAGATACGATAGAAAACGCAAAGGGATGCAACATCCCTACGCAGCGCCAGTGAATCGAGCCGATCAGAAAGAACTCGGTCGTCGACGATTCGAAAATCGCTCTGCGATGGATGCGATCAAGTAGAAGGAGCTGGCACTGGGGTGCCCCGGCCCAGAGATGAGAACAGTATCCCATGTGAGGCCGAACTTGCGCTTTGTAAGGTTGCAAGCGATGTATTTTTTTTATATAGGATAGGGTGACAAACGAGCACACAGTCCACCTGATGGTAAGTGGTTGCTGTGGCCCATAGACATCTACATCTATCCTCGATTACGAATCAAAATGCAGATGCGTTGTCACCCGTGAGGACTAAGTTTGAATTTTTTTTTATAGAAGAGGGGGCAAACGAGCATGCGGGTCACCTGATGTTAAGTGACTACCTCCGCCCATGATCAACCGCAACACCAGGGGAATTGCAGGTGCGTTGCCGGCCCTTTAGAAAGGAGTAAGCTATTTTCTTGAAGGTCCGCAGGTCGTATCGGTCCGGAAAAATCGCCGGTGGTAAACTATTCCACAGACAGGTTGTACGCGGAAGAAAACTCCTTTTGAAACGTACTGTGGTGGACCGCCAAGCATCCAGATGGTGTGGATGGTATCGGGACGTTTACCGAGTAGTGCGTTCACGAAATTTGGCGGCTGGGATTAATCCGAACAATTCCTCAGAGCACTCTCCATGGTATATGCGAAATAAAATGCAAAGAGATGCAACATCTCTTCGCAGTGCCAGTGAATCGAGCCCATCGGAGAGCACTCGGTAGTCGACGATTCGAGCCGCTCTGCGCTGGATGCGGTCAAGTGGAAGGAGCTGGTACTGGGGAGCCCCAGCCCAGAGATGGGAACAGAACCTGCGCCTTGTAAAGTCGCAGGCGATGTGCCGGCATGAAATACTGTCCCGCTCTGCTGAGCACGCCAAGCTTTTTAGAGGCCAATTTGGCCTTCTCTACCAAGTGACCACGAAACTGCACGTCACTCGATATGTCAACGCCGAGGATTCCGATACTGGCTGAGGCAACAAGGGGAGGGGCCTTGAAACTGAGGAGATACGACAAAGGGGTTCTTTTTAGCGGTTAACGCGCAAACTTGTGTCTTCTGGGGGTTAAACTGGACTAGATTTAGTCGCCCCCAATCCGAGACTCTGTTCAGCAAAGACTCGACTTCAGACAGACAAGTTTGTCCCGGCACTCGGAGACGTTTTCCCGAGAAATATTGGCTCGGCCGGTGTAAAGAGCATCACCAGTGCTGTCATCTGCATAGCAATGAATGTTACGGGTTTGCAACATATCATTGATATGCAGAAGCAACAGCGTTGGCGATAGCACGCAGCCTTGTGGAACACCAGCATTAATAGGCTTGCAATCGGAGCTTACACCGTCTACAACGACCTTGATGCCCCGAATAGAATGCCTCGTTTCCAGTAAAAAGAAGTGTTATTTATTGGTCTGTAGTTTCCGATACCATCCTTTGC